GTAGCCACGACGTCAAGCGCAAAATATGATCTTAACTATTGCTGTACGAAGAGACAGCACACAAGTCTGTCCCCGAAGTAAATTTCCCTGTTCTGTAAAATCAACCCTTTTTATTTTACAGACATTAGATTGGGTACATAGATCTACCAGCCGAAACACAATTTCTTTTCAATGTTATAAAAGTTGATCTCAATGCACTTATTCAACCCAACCAGCGGTAACCGTTTCCGTTTCGGCCAGAGTCCATTGCGCAGCATTGTTTCGACCACAATTTCTTCCTCTTCTACAAATCGCTTCCCCCTTTTATTCATTCTTTGATTATGGGGAAAAAATGAAAGTCACATGGTGGTAAGTATGGGGAATAGCGGGGATATTCAAGTTCAAGGACTCTCACTGCCTGGAGTCCATGAGACCGGTGACCTTTTGAGTAGTGTGCATTGACGTGTACAAGCAGCAAACCCGGCAACATTCTTTCGATTGCTGGTGTCGGCTTTATTGGAAAAACCATCTGAAGGCTCTCGTGGCCTAGAGGTTAAGGTGTCTCATTCAAAGGTTCCGGGTTCGAATCCGGGTAGCGACCGAAAAATTGTCTTCTCCATAATTGTCTCCTTTCACCTTCTTCCCTGCTCTCTTACAATGTTCTGTCGTCTGCTTTCGTCTCTGCTTTCTTCCCCCACCCCTTTCACCTCCTTTTGCCCCCCCCCCCCTTTTCCACTGGGCTCCTGACTCCCTCTGCAGCCTTTTTACTCTACTCCTTGGCTCTTTCTTACTGCTGGCTTTCAGCCACACCTCTGATCTTCTGGAAGGAAAGATCTACACCTAGCCTTCTCGGACAAGGGCGAAAAATCTCAGAGGACCCGAGTGCAAATTGCGCACGTTAAAGATCCCTTGGTGGTCCAAAATCGATAAGAGTAAGCTTCGGCCACCACCCGGACAAAATTCAAAATTTCCTACCAATTGAAAATGTTTGGTGGGTCCCGCGCGCTAATATGACCTTATGCAGTTGCGAGAACCGTAAAACACTTACCACAAAAAAAAGAAAGAAAAGAAAAACCATCCAGGGACAGTCCGCACTGACTGTTGCACCCATGAGAACCGGCAAGGTCAGAACCACATCTTTGTAATCGAAAAGCATGATGTGCATCATGTTCAAAGCACCTTGCTTGAGTCGAGCCCTCTGGGTCCGTAATTGTGGTCCCGCTCTCTATTCTGCTAATTGTCTTTTCAGTTCTGGATCCCACGAATACAACCATACTTCATCCCCACTGGTTATGATTTTACTTAAATGCATGTCCGTTTATTCCATGCGACTTTCAAATCCTCCCGCCCAAAATAAAAAAGGACTAAAGAGGCAGCGATTTGAAGAAATGGGAGAAATTGTGCTTGTAACAAATGCTGTGTTAAGGACTCTGGTCAAAGCGGACATATGGCCACTGCTTTTTTAGTTTTAGTAGAGGTTTTAAGGCGCTCGCAACTGCAAAAGGTCATAAGAGCACCAATATGGCCACTGCGTTTGGCTACTGGCTACATGGAATGAAAAAGCACATTGAGATTAACGGTCATTATTATTATTATGTTGAACAGCAAACATGTTTCTGTGGTGCAAAATTTCGGGTCTGTAAAATAAAAATTGTTGGCTTTACAGAATAGGGATACGTACTTCTAGGACAGACCTCGTAGACATGTATCTTAGGCCCTATAACATACATCAAGCTAAACTGTCTAAAATGCCTGGTCACCTAGTTGTAATAAATGTTGCTAAAAACGTAATCCCCGTATTTAAAAAAAATGTTTTAAAGATATTGACTATGGATAGTGCTATAAACCCTGCGTGTCGAAGTCTTGTGTCTTTGTGCGATTTTACCTGTTTAATTTTTTTTTACTTTCCAGTAATTGGAATACAACATTAAAGACACAATTCCCCCATTCTTTTCCATCGGATTAAAGTTTGGCAATTTGAAGACACACTTTTTCAAAAGCAAAGGTCAAATCTCCGTGGGTAAAACAAATACTGTGCGCCATAGTCTTGCGTGTATACAGAGAAGATAAGATAAGATACATCTTTCTTGTCCAGATCCTGGCACATTGGTTTGGTGTTTCACCACGAGTACACACACACACACA